TCACACAGGAGATCATATACCATGAGAAATTCAATTGATTAAAGATAATATGTATAACTGTGGGAGGTGAGATTACCAAATATTGCTAAATTGCATTGCACAATGAATCTGCAGTTACCCTGTGAAGAAATTAATAAAAAAAAAACACAAAAAAACCCAAACAAAAATAGAATTTAACAAAATTTAACTTAGGAGATAAACTCTGTAGAAAGCCCACTGACCTTTTTTACATTTTTGTTTACATCAACCAAGTTGAGCTGGAAGATGTGGTCCTTTGTCCCAACCAGCAGCCGGCCCCTCTCCTCATCTAGCAGCAGGGTTCTAAAATCAAGTCCCTCTGCTGAGCCCAGGAATGGGATGCAGCTGTTTGAAAGCAGCAAGTCTGTGGGAAAATGAAGAAAATCTTTATAATCAAAATGCTTATATATGGCTCATCAGTGTCTTCTATAAATATATGCAACTATAAATATATGCAACCAGCACGGAGTATACCAGTGAGATAAGTGCAGTCTTGGAGTATGACTTTCCAGAGTAAAAATACAGTTCCCATTAACTTTGGGGTTCTCTGGGCTTTTTTTTTACTTCCAAACTGGGTAATATTTACTTTCACAAAATATTTTTCTACATAAAATTTTCTTTATAATTATCTGTATGGTATAGAAGAATCAGAAATTCAACATCAATTAGAAACCACTAAAGACAGATCTTTGCAAAATGTGTGCTATATCTTTCCTTCTTTCTAAGAAAACTAATTACATTTATATTATAATACAAATGCTCAACGATCAATACCTCACCATATTTGGTGCTCCAAATATAAAGTAGCAAAAAAAGTCAATGCCAGCCAAGAATAATTAGGAGTAGGAAACAGTGGATAGGGACATTTGAAGATAATCCAGTTCAACTCCCTCAGTATGAGGACAAACATCTTTCACTAGATCAGCTTGGTCAAAGCCCCACCTAACATGGCCTTGAACACTTCCAGGGATGGGGCATCCACAACTTCTCTGGGCAACTTGTACCAGTTTCCCACCACTCTCATAACAGAAAATGTCTTTCTTATATCCCGTTTCTATCTACTCTCCCACAATTTAAAACTACTGTCCCTTGCCTTGTCAATAAAGACTTTGGAAAAAAATTATTGCTCATATCTTTTACAAGCCCCCTTTATATATTGGAAGGCGACAATTAGGTCTCCTCAGAGCCTTCTTGTTTCCTGGTGGAACAACACCAAACTTCTCAGCCTGTCCTCGTATGGAAGGTGTTACAGCCCTCTGACCATTACCAGGGCTCTTCTCAAGGTTCATTCCAAAGTTCATGTCTTTCTTGAACTGAATGCCCCAGAACTGAATGTAGGTGGGGTCTCACCAGAGCAGACTGCAGAGGCAGATTCCCCTCCCTCTATCTGCTGAACACACTTCTTGTGGTACAGCCCAGGGTACAGCTGGCTTTGCAGGCTGTGAGCACACACTGCTGGCTCATATCCATTTTCTTTTTTCATTTACCAGTATTGCCAAATCCTTGTCTGCAGGGCTGCACTCAGCCTAGTCATCACACAATCTATTCATCATCCAGTCTGTCTTGATATCAAGGATTGCCCTGACCCAGGTGTAGGATCTTGCACTTGGCCTTGTTGAACTTCACATTGCTTACACAGGCCTCCTTCTCCAGCCAAACAAGGGATCTTCAAAGACAATTTATTCCAATTCAATGAGAATGGTATGGTAAGGGGAACATCCAGTAGCAACACCTCTAAGATCCCTATTAAAATCAAAAATTTTACACTAAAGTTTTACTGTGAATTAACAGTAGATTCAAATATCTTTCAAAAGGTAATTAAGAAAATAATGATGCTCTGTGAAACTAATGAAAGAATCTATAAAACTGCAAAAAAAATTCTGTAACATTCTGCCTAATGAATATTCTGTGGACATAATTCTGTATGAGGACACAAACAACATACAGAAAAGAGCACAAGGATAGTTAAGTCTTGTTAGGTAGTCATGACTTTGGGGAAAAGAAAATAAACATGTGAATCAGTTCTTTCACAAGCAAACTCTCCAAGCTAAACTATTCGGAAATCATCAGATAGAAAGGCAAATCGTGTATTTAACTGACATAAAATTAAGGGTATTTCCACCTTCCTGGCACTGGATGGATAATGTAGCATTCCTGCTAGAAAAGACAGACTTACTGCAAAAGTCATTTGCACATCCTGATCATTATGAAAATTAGGGCCAGTGTTTTGGAAAAAAAGTCTTGAATGAAATAAAAGGAAAAAAACCCCACCCAAACATTTTTCTCCAAGAACTCTCACAAACCATATGACAGGCAAAAATATTAAGTTCTGGTGCTGCCTAATAAACAGCACTCTGGAAGGAAAAATATTTTATCATTATTAATCTATCTGGAATATAATTATGATAACTATTTTTTGGCTCAGTCACTTCTACTTAAGTTTGTGTGCATTTGTCTGGCTCAGTGCAGGGTGTTAGGGTGTTGTTAAGGTACAATCTGAAAACAAATTGTCATGCCCTGACACTCCTATTCCCCTAGGTGAGATTTATTTGGCAGTTCTTTGGAAAAAAAATCCTGCTTCCCATTGAAAAATGATATCCTATGCTAGGCATTACAACTGCTATACATCAGCACTGTCCTCTCTCACATATATTTTGTGAAGACAAAGATGTCAGGGTTTGTTTTCTAAACTAGTAACACTTTAAAAGCTTTGTTTATTAATTGCTAGCAAGATCACTTAGGAGCACCTTATGGTTAAGATGGTACTATAAAAACCTCAGTCCTCACCTGTAGGACACAAATAACTAACATACAGAATATGAGGGAAAATTCCTTCCCATCTGCAGACACAGGCAATCTGATCTAAGGAAGGATAAATTATATGCTTGTGCAAATAAAAGCATGGGCCTTCACAAGAGTGTCAGTTGCAAAAATATGTGGATTTGATTCTCCACATACATGAAGAACGATGTCTGAGACTGCTCTCTACTTCCCATTTCCTTCTTG